TTATCGTTACCGCTTATTCACTAATGGGGTAGATCATTTGTATATTATATATTTATATAGAATCCCTATTTGCAAAATATTTAGTTTTCAGTGGTGTCTTGAAATCCCTTAAGAATTCCACCAATGAATTTATGGATTAGATAAAAAACACATCGGGGACACGAAAGAATACCACAATGATTGAGTGTTTTATTTATGTGATACAATTAGCACATAACTTCCCAATAAAACATAACTTCTCTGCATTTACACATGCAAACTTGAAGTACAACCGATTCCAATTGATGGTACACTTGATAGACCAAAAAGATGTCTATCGGAAAATCATGCTGTTTTGTAAATTATTATTTAAAAAAGGCTAAGAAGCTAATGAGATCACAAAAAAATGTACAGGCCTAGACTACACAAATATGCATTGTAGCAAACAATACCCTAATGATAATGACGATAATAAGCAGTCCTCCTGCAGGCCTTGTGACTTGAAAATTAACAGTTGGAAGATCGGCAAAAGAGGAATCCGAGTATCCCTTTGTCTTTTTTTTGCTAAGAGGCATCTTTGAAATTATTTCTGAGTCACTTGCAGATTTAGATGAAGGGTCTTCCAAACACCAAGAGACATCACTGTTTGAACCTCCTCCTCCTCATCAAGTCTCTGAAGCATGCATTAATTATGGACTCCTTCACGAGGTGTTTCAATGTAATCATGCAAACCTGATTTAGTGGGACCGGCCTGAACAGGATTCAGTGAAAGCTAGCGAGCTACTGAGATAGCAGCCGGAAGGCTTACCCAATTGGCATGGGCGGCCACGTAGTAGGTTAATGGTCCTCCAGCAATACGGTAATTACGATCCTGACAGAGAACTTTTCTCTTTTCTAAAGCGTAAAAGATGACATTCCACAGCAGATAGTAGCTCCGAGCAAAAAAAAAAACACAAGTGCGTCCAAACAGGCTGCACGTTGAGTCTCGTCTGCTACTTGAGTAGCATCATCCAGGTTTCAAAACATTATTTGAACTGAAACAACTTAAAATTTGAGAGAAATTGAGCTGATGCGCTGTCATGCATTCAAATTACATAGAAAATGAGTCTGGATATTTTCATGTTTTTCACGTTGGTTTACCTAGACTAATCAAGCTGGTTACTTAGTTTAACAAATAAATGCTGAAAACTTAAATATTCATTTTAAAATTGCGTATTTAAGATGAATTTATTACCGCAATACTTGATTCTTTAGAGTGTGGTGGCTTCATAGACTTCCTTCTTCTTCTCAGTTTTCTTTCCTGACATTTTTGATAAGGGTAGATTAATTCCTTGTCCCTCAATGTGTTGAATCTTTCCACAAGCGTATGTTGTGAGAAGACTTCTTCAAGTCTTGGTTGCCTGGTATAGGTCTAAATAGACGTCTTTTTTTTAGAGGGTATGGTCTGTGATGATGGTTTTTAGGCACTGTGGCCGCTTTAGCCACCATGAGTGCCTCGACAGACTCTCAAGACAGCGTTTTCTGGTTATGTCTTTTATTCGTGTGGACGTACACGCACTAACACACATACACAATGTCCTGGTGAGCTGGGCGCATTACATTTGTATGTAATCTTCGTCAATTCTACATGTGTCTTTTTCAGTGTTGTCTTTAAATCCCTTAAGAACTTTCATCAATGAGTTTAGAATCATTCTCATATTTGATAAGTCCTTGACTTATTTGGCAAGTGTCCTAAGTTTGGGGTTATCTTCAGGTGGAAGGGGGTCATGTTCAATTGTGGGTGCGTCTATTAAAGAGGAGGTGGTAGCAGGTGGTAGCAGGTGGATCCAAGATAGTTAATTGCGGAGGAGAGATGGTGAGACAGAAAAGGACGGTAGGTGGAGCCAGCTCCAGTGCCAGAACGTCACAGTATCAGGTACCCAACTAAAAGCTTTGTCAAAACTGAAGGTCTTAAGTCAGTCTTAAATGTACTGAGCTTGTATGTTAGCTAGAGATACAGTATACTTCCTTCTTCCTCATATTTAGAGAAAGTCCTCTCATGTTAGTGCCACAACTGCAAGCTCTTACTCCTATTCTGTCTTTAAAAACCACAAGAAGACCTGCAGTATTAGACTAAAGTGACCAGTTGTAAAAAAAATATCTTAAGAGGTTTTTAAAATATGACGGTGCTTATCACTCAGTTTTTTATTTGTGAGGAGCAGAATTTTTTTTTTCTGAATAAAACGGGCTAACACTGGAAAAATATAACCTCTTTTTTTGTACGTTGGCTGAATGATTTTGGATCAGCTGGAGGCTTTTATGTTTTTCTCCATGTCCCTTTATGGGCTCCGTACCACAAGGAGCAATACCAACTACACATTTTCTATACTGACCCTACACCTCCCATCCACAGAAGCTGCCTTAATCAAACTTTTTATGTAGATATTTCTATGTGTAATGTATCGTTGTAAAATCTACGAATATTGCGAAACAGTACTGGCTTTTTGCAGTCTTGGTCTTGCTACACCTTGTTAAAAAAAACAAAAAACATTTCCTGTTACTGACAGGGCAATGTGGCTTCCTGCAGTCGCTTGAGAAAATTAAGAAAGCAAAGCATGGGTAGCACAGTGAAGATGCTGCCCTTGTTCTGGGTTGTTTTGGATTTGGGTGTGTATTCGCTGTCTCTGCCAGAAATCAGTGACTCAAAGTTCATTGATGAATGTGTGACGGAACACAACATAGCGCGTTCATCTGTCAATCCACCTGCAACCAACATGCTGTACATGGTAAGTGAAGATGTGGGTTGGGTCTCTCTTCCTGAGTTCACAAAAGAACCTGAAACTTATTTGTAATGTTGGAAAAATGAGAAGAAAGGAAAATCCTATATATGCTTCTTAAGCAGGAAGACACTGAAAACTAACGTCCCTAAAGGGTCTGTTTCCCTATTTATCTAGTTGGCATGATTATATAACAACGGATTTTTAGTTACTTATTGTTTATAAAGTGTTTTGAAAACCTTTGCTCACATACTATTGACTAAAGACCAAAAAAATCAGAGTTATGAATATGTACCCTGCTAAAAAAGTTTGAACTTCCTTTGTCTTCTCATTCAAAATCAAACGCTGGGTGTGGCTAGACTTCAGTCTTATTAAGAGAGACCAGTAGAGATCTCTATATCTAAATATCTGTAATGAAAAAAAGCATTGAAAGAGCTGGTTATCTTTAGAGAAATGTTGATCCTGACTGCATTAATCTGTCATGCCCAACAATATGGAAAATGTATCCCAAAAAAAAGGAAAACATTGTAGATAATTTTTAATGTTCTGTGATTTTATTATTACATTAAACATATCAAATACTATACCATATGAACAGTATAATGTACAATGTATGCATAGAATGACCCACTAGGAAGTTACAATGGCTTCCTTAATATTGAGTAGATCCTCCTTTAACCAATAAGATTTTTCTATAAAGAACAACTTGTGAAATACTGTTTGAAGCAGATACTTATGTAGGTTATGGTCTTTTGGTTTTGTGCATTACACTTCTTCTAACAGATTTAGCAGATTAATATTTGATGTGTTTGTGCAGTTGGGTAAAAACCTCAGATTCTTTAGAAGTCATAACTATTTATAACAGGGACATATTTGAGTAGTATTACATTGAGCCATGAAACTTACTTTATTGCGTTATGACGGCTTGTTTGCAACGCCAACGGTAAAACAACCTTATAGCTCTGCCAGTGCTACTTTATTTAAATATTTGTTTCCATGACAACATGAACTTCCGGGCAACACTACGGAGGACTAGACTAATGGCAAGTATGTCTAACTAAAAATGTACTGATAAACAAACAAGATCGGAAATGTGTCTTGAAATTAGAATAATAAAATTCACTTTCAAAAATTCACACAATTTTTTATAAATGAGGCTTACAATGTAAAACCACTGGGACTGCAAACATCTGTCCAAGACCGTACAGAACCTATGTCTTAAATTAAAAACCAATGCATAATCACAAAACAACACAGATAATGAACGTGAATGACTAATGAAAGACAGGAATTTAAATAGTACTCTAAAAAATCGAAATAAAGCCAGAAAGTTTCTAAATGGGCCCCAGATGACAAAAACAAATGTTTACCCCTAACTGCATACGTGACGATTTCTAAGGGCAGAGGTAGCTTTTTAAAGGAGGTCATTCTTGCCTTTGTCTCCAGTAGACATGAATACAGTCATGTTCTTCTATCTGGTCTTCCCAAAAATAATTTTATGCAGAATCAGCGCATCCAGAATGCTGTTGGCAGAGTCCTAACAGGATTTAGAAAAACCGACCACATTACTCCCGTTCTGAGGTTCTTACACTGGCCACCAGTTACCTACAGAATAAACTTCAAAGTGTTGCAGTTCATTTGGGGCCAGAATACTTTAATGTATTTTATGTCAAATGTGCCCACACTCTGGATACAGTTGAGTGGAAAACACTGTGTCTTTCTTTAGACAAATTTTACATGGTGAATTATTTTTAAATCCTTTTTTTGTCCAACTACACAACAAAATTGTCATTGTTTAAAATGTGTCTAGTTTTTCTTAGTGGTTTTGTAAAGCTGTTGTACATGAAATGTGCTATACACAGAAACTTGCCTTTCTTTGACTCACTAATTTTTAAAAAAACCTTTTTGCTATGTCTTTGGATAGATTGAGCTAATTTAGGCTGATCGAACACTGTACGCCCAGAAAACTTAAACACTTCAATTCATTTCCATAGATGTTCAGCATACCCGCAATCATTCAAATTTGTAACCTAAAAATCCCCCCCTAAAATTGAAGAAATTTCTTGATTTTTTTTTGTCTTCTGTATTTTGCTTGTCTAGACATGGGATCAGGGCTTGGCAATTACTGCAAGAGCATGGGCAAGACACTGTGTGTTTGAGCACAACATCCACCTCAAAGATGTCCGCCGCATGCACCCTGTCTTCCCCTCCGTAGGAGAAAACATATGGACGGGCTACCCACCGTCGCACTTTAACGTATCGGTTGCCCTAAAAAGTTGGGTGAATGAAAAAGAATATTACGACTACCAAACAACCAGTTGCACAAAGATCTGTGGACACTACACACAGGTATGTGCCTTCATTTTATCTTTGCAGCATCAGCTGGAAAGAAAATCTTGAATTTTTCAATATTTGACCTGGATATAACTCATAATCTTGGTCTTGTGCAGGTTGTGTGGGCTAGTAGCTACAAGGTTGGGTGTGCTGTGGAGCTGTGTCCAAAGGGTGTTAGGAATTTTAGCCCACGCAAAGGTGCCATCTTTGTATGCAACTACGCCACAACGTAAGTTCAACGAATGGATAAAAAAAACACCTACCACTTTAATATCAAAGAAGACTCAATTGTTGCCGAGGCCTTTCTGTATAGAGTTTTAGTGTTTTCACTGTGGATGCACAGGTTCTCTCAAGGTATTTCAGCTTAATTCCACCATCTAAAAATGCACGTTAGGATCATTGGCTTTACTAAAGTCTCCCTGGGCGAGAGCACATGGTTGCCTGAGATGGATGTCAACTTGTTAAGGTTGTACTCCACCTCTCAACCAATGACAGCTGGAATAAGCTCCAGCTCCTCAACGGCCCTTCATTAGATTAGGTGGGTAAAGAAATTTAATGTATCGAGGAATGCTTTTGCAGTTGGAAAAACTTTGTTTTGTTTTTTTACTGTGGAAAAGATGACCATTTAATGTTGCCACAGTTACAGTTTTTTTTTTATTATGGCCATTTTGTCTCTTTTTCCATAACTTCCACCTTAAAAATGGACATACTCTATGTTGAATATCATAAAAACTTTCATTAAATCAGTAATTGTCCAAAATCCTTTTTAAACGAATCATGCACAGATATATGACAAGATTTCTTACCAGAACACAGTATATATTATCCATAGCAAAGAGACATTTTTCTTTTTGACTGAAAGTACTTGACCACAGAAAAAAGAACGAAGGCCGTATTTGTTTTGCTGCATAACCAGATCTCAAAACAATGTACCTACAATCATAGAAATGAATATTTCTTTTTGGTTTTCCTTACTTTGCAGAGGTAATTTCAGAGGACAAAAACCATATCAGTCTCAAGGAGAACCTTGCTCTGCATGTGAAGGAACTTGTGACAACAGTCTCTGCCGTGAGTATTTATTCTTAGCCCTGTAACGCCATATGTATCATATGATACATTTGTTGGTGGTTTTTTTATATTTAGCATCTAAAACCTTTGCTCAAAACCTTGCTGATAAAATTAAGATATAACAGATAGCAATGGGCAGAACACTACACGAGAATAAATCAGACTTATTACACAGTAATAAATTATGAATATAGCAAACATGTTTTTGTTTATTTTTTCATATTTTGGTGAAGGGCCAATTAAAGACTTCGAACAAAAAAAACCAAACTTTTTTTTTCCGGGATCAGGCTTTAAAGGGTTGGATGATCTAAATTCTGACCTATTTCAATCATACAATCAAACTGACAATATTCTCAAAAATATATTTCTGATGTGTTATAATGTCTTAACAGGCAACCAAGAAAGGGACGCCCAGAGAAGTAAGTTTACCAGCAGTATAGCTAGACACTAATAGCCCAATGATTGTTCATTACTAAAGCTGTAGCTCTGTTTTGAAAAAACAAAACAATTAAAAGTAAAAATATTAACATTCTTATAGGGTATCTAATAAGAGCTGTGATAATCATTTTTAATTCCAGGCTACAACTGGGAGCCAGACTGGGATCCTGCCAATACAGCCAATGACTCCAGCTATGTGGTTGTTCTAATCGCCCGCCCCATTGCCCTCATTTTGACATTCATCGCAGCATATGCAGTTTGCTACTTTTACCCAAATGTCTTTTGCTATGAATAAAAAAATGTACTTTGACAGGAACATTTCTCCTGTTACGGAGAGTCAGGCCAGCGAATTTATCCAGCAGAGCGCTTTTATGTTTCAAAATTCAAACAGTCAAATCCTAGAGCACAAGGGGGCTCTAGTTTGTCGTTACCATACTCAAAGAAGGGGATGAGGAATTGTGTCATTTTGCATATCTTTTCATAGATTATAAGAAATGTTTGACTTTTCGTTGCAGACATCTTTGAGATAGCAACACAACTACTGCCAACTAAACATGGCTTATTACACAGATGTAATTATCAGGATGTCGTTTAGAAATGTTCTTCTTAGGGTAAATAAAAATGTGGCTATTGTGCCTTTCGGTGACTAACTTTGAACAATGCAGACTTCAGTTACCTTAGAACCCCCAAGTTTCCATAAGCATGGTTCTATTTACTGATAGCATGAGAAGTCTAACAAAGTCACCAAAACTCAGTAATAATAGCTTTTTTGGAGATGCCAGGATTAATATAATTTATCTTGCAGGAAAATGAATGTGTGAAGGGTGACTAGGGTTGCAAAATTGACTCAGTCCAGTAATCAAGCAATTTCACCATTTTGATCTCAATCTACTATTCACTTCAGTAACTGAGGGGAGAATCATGACTTCACAATACCAAATGCAAGTGTAATTCACTTACACATGCTAAAGGTGAAGAGGTTGACGATTTCCTCAAAACTGATCAGAATAAGAGAAGAATCCTTATGTTATCAAATGTATTATTCAAAACCTATGTTATGCTTATATTGAAGAATGTGTAGTGTTAAGAAAACTGAACAACACAACACTGGAATTTAATCTTTACCGCGACCTATAATGCCATATGTGTCATATTTGATGTACGTTTTGAAAAAATATTTTGCATCCTAGACGTTTTGCGTAGTTTACTGATAAAAACTTTTGATTAAAACCCTGTTGTACACATTCAGCTATACCTGATAACAGTTAGCATAGACAACACAACAAAAATGGGATTTATTGCATGGTAAATTAATTATGAATACTCTTTTTAAAAATCTTTTGGTCAAGGGCCAAATAAAGACTTCAAACTAAATAATTTTCTCTCCATTTTTTCTTGGATCAGGCTATAATAGGGTCATTATTAGTATTAAACAGCTTCTATTTAAAATCACCAAAGATGAACCCCTCTGTATGTAGGCTGACTGTTTAAATCATACTTTTAAAGTAAGACCATTGCAATAGAAAATCTTTTATTTTACATTTGAGTTGCTGAGCCTCCTTCTGGGCATAGTCAGAAAAATATCAGGCATAAAAACTGTCCACACAATAGACAGCCAATGAAGAGAAATGAGGGAAAAGAAATACATTACTGTACATTTTCTTTTGCTGTCTTGGTATAATACTAAAACATTATAACAGACGGGAAATTGCTCTTAACAGAAGTAAATTAAAACACAAAAGAAGGTGATGGAATTATTTATCCTTTTCAAAACACAAACACAAATCTGTACAAACTGTGCTCCTCTTTGCATATCATGTCTAAAACTAGCCGCTCATTATTGTATTAATACAGTGTGTGGTTAGCCTTTGCTCTTGGTTTTGCTCTTTTTCTTTTTGCTGGTTGTGCTGTCGGGAGGAGGTGCTGGGATCACTGGTGGGGCCCCCAGTTTCTTGGTTTTGGCTTTTTTCACCTTTTCCTTGATGGCGTCAATGTCGAGCTGTCCTGTGGGGGCTGGGACACGAATGATGCGACAGAGGTTTAGGGTTGCTGCAAAACTGCACACGGTCGCATACACGCCGGCGTTTTCCTTACCTTTAGCAGCTTTTTTCATGAGAGGCTTCTCTTTAGGAGGAACGAACGCTTTGTTCCGCTGTTCTTGCTTCTTGGTTAATACTTCTGCTTGTTTGACCTGAGAAAAGCAAACGGTAACCGTCATCTTTACTACAAGACCGCAAAATGACAAAACTCTTCCTGTAACATTTTAAAGGTAGTTGTCACTTGAATTCAGAGAACATTTTCTTTTTTCATCCTGCCACTTAATGAGTTACAAGAGCCAAATGCTGTGAAATGAAACTCAAACAGAGATGAAATAAGAAAACTGATTAGTAAAAAAACCTCACCTTGATTTCCTCCATCCTCTTCCTCTTCTTCACACTTTCACGTAAAAAGAATTCTCCAGTTGCTAGCTCCTGATCAACCTGTAAAACCAAAACCAATTTAATTATGAAAAGTTCTGCATAATCATACTGATTTGTCTAAAGGTTTTGTGGCTGATATTTATTTAAAAGCTAGCTGCTGCTGCTGACCTTGCTGTCTGGCTGTGGGGGGGGGAACGGGGTGTACTCCTTCTTCACGCTCTTCTTCTTGGGCTCCTTGCGCTTGGACAGGTTTTTGTGACGGAACTTGGGCAGGAAGCGCTCCCAGCTCTGTGTTCTCAGCTCGGCGTCTTTGGAGAGCTCCCGTTTGATCATCAGCGTCTGAGTATTAAATCCGCGAGAAATATTGACCTTATTCAATCTTTGAACCTTCAAGAAGTCTTTTTAGGATGTACAATCATGTCACGCATAATACATAAAAAACAATGACTTAATTTTATGATCATAAAAATGATAACTTGATGACAAAGGCAATCCAAGACAATCTGCCCTGGTGCTATTTGGTGGATAAACACAACATGTTTAATCTTTCTCAAATAGACTGCAAAAATGAGCAGATTGCAGAATAACCTGCAAAATGGCTGCTTCTGACTAGATAACGCAAAGATTATTAATAAAAGGGGAAAAAAATGCTTTTAATGATCAGTTTCCCTTGGAATTAACACGTTTAAACGCAATTTTGTTTGATTTACATTATCCTTTCGCAGTGCACCACATACCTCGAACTCAACAAATCCAACAGTGTGACGTGACGTCAAGAAATTAATTCTATATCTATCATGCCCTCAGCTCCGGGTTGAGCCAACCATGGCGTACAGACCCAGAGGTATACGTTTCAGTCATGGCATTAGGAACAAGGATGGATTGTAATCTTCATTGGGCATGAGTGTGGTGGACTGAATTGAAACAGCATTGATGTTTGGTTTTCAAGCTGCAAAATGTGAAAAAGACTCAGAACCAAGCCACGAGCAGGTCAGCATACCTTGATATTATATATGGGGTGAACGTTCTTCATGGTGTCCATTACCACTTTACGGACCTGTTTAACAGAGAGACAGCGCATGATTTGTATTTTCATGGTATGAAATGCTGCCCAAATATGATTAGTCAGCATTCAGAAACTAACTTCTTGGAAATTAAAAATGTGTGAATTCAATAGCATAAAGAAACATTAAAAAAATCACCCTCTGAGAATTTATTATAGACATAAATGTAGATGCCTTTTTGTTAACATTACGTGAAATATCATATCATTTGCTGCTGAAACCAATCTTTCCTATAGAGTTCTAAACTTTTAGCTCTCCATTAGCAAAGTTTGACGAAGCACATTCAACATGAGTAAGGATAGTAAAAAGGGAGTCTTTATATATATTCATACACATTTTTCCTAATAAGTAATAATAATTATTTTAAATTGAATCATTTCCTCTTTCTGAAAGTGCTGACTAGCTGCTAAACCTTGAAAATAAAAAGAGACAGTGTAAGAAACGCACCTCTTTTAGGCCATTATAGGGCCCCAGTGAAGACACCGTGTTACCCTGCACCATCACATAGCAGTTTGTCAGCAACTCTAAAGCCTGGAAAGTGGTGAAAAGGGAAAAAACAAAAACATATTCAAATCAAACACTCATAAGTTGTACAAGTAAGGTATTAATATTTTTTTTCACTTAAGCGAACCTCATGGCTGGTGGTGGGATCGGATTAAAAACAGAGTAAAGAGGCTATCCAGCCTGCATAAACATAAACATCGGAATACACCTCCCCCCTATCATTTTGGCGTGTAATCTGAGCTTTCAGTTTATACACTGTTACCATTTAAAGGTTATTGTGAGCTGCAGTTGTAAAAAGAGACACACAGGAAGGAGGACGTGTGAATGATATCATAGAAAATAAAGGTGAAATATTTGGTTTAAAAAAGAGTTTCAGTGGCCAACTCCTGGTGAGATTCTTTTTTTAAATACAAATGTAAATATCTAATATGTTAGCATCTTAGTATAATTTACAAAAATTTTTTTTTAGTACAGGATAAAAGAAAAATATATATATATTTGTGCTGTTTATGTTGAACTTGAGCGGCAAATTTGGAACTTCTTCAACCACAAATGGAATGCTTGTACTTGGTTCGAATAGCTGCAACAGCTTGGAGGATAAACAATTCTGCATCTGACTAACCAAGAAAATGGGACATTTAAGAAAAAAAGGTGAGGTGAATCTTAAGACTCCATTATTACTCTTATATAAAGCTAAATCCCAAAGACGTGCAGTCTTCATCCATGGCAGGATGGAGAATTTTTACCCTGTGGGAAACACCTTACCTAAACTTACCTTTAAAGTGGATCCCTTGGGGCCGATCAGCCGCTGCCTTCGCTTCACAAAACGCTCTCTATTCCTCACCAGGGTGCCAATTTTGATGATGTCACAGGCCACGTCATCCTGCAATATCCGTACAGCCTGGCAGAAACACATTAAACGCAAAAATTATATATATAAAAAAAAATACAGATAAGATATAGGGGGCGAAATGTACTACTCATTTAAGTGACTGTTAACCTGCTCAAATGGGACGCTCCGGGCCAAAAGCTTAATGAGGTCTCTGGCCCGCACGATGGCGTAGGGGTCAAACGTTTTCTTGGTGGTAGAGACTGTCATGCTGCCCTCTATCAGGTCCAGAGAAGCTTTGATGTGCTGAAAGGAACAATATCAACGTGACGCGATTTAAGACGAGATGCTAAATCACCCAGACAGCGGACAGTAACGCTGCCAAGATGGCTGAAAACGCTGTACAGAGACACTGGACTCACTGGAAAAGAGCCAGCTATAATGTATTTTTCATCCCCTATTTGTCCCACAAGTTTAAAAAAAAAACAATACGGCAAAATCTTGCCCACGTCGAGCATATGAAGGACATAGAAAACCAGAAAATTGTCCAATCCTGTTGTAAGCATGCCAATCCAATTCAGTATTGGTCAGTTTCTGTTCTCGAAAATGCTATTTAAAAAGACACTGAGAACCTTTCAGTTGCAAGAGTCATTTCCTCCTATTGCAATCAGGCCTTTACAGCAATACAGCTCAGACATGTGACTTTTAAATTAAAAACACTTTTGCCATTTAAGAGCTGCAGCTGAATGTCTCAGAATTTTATACCCGAGAGGCCACCGATTATCTTCCATCTGCTGTTTTCCTTAACTTTTTTAATCCTACAGCGCATATTAACCACTTATTAATGCAATGTTCTTACTAAATAGCCTAGTTAAGAAGTCTAAAGAGTAAAAACAGGTACTTCAGATGAATAATAATGAGGTGAATCATACTGAGGAATTGTTGAATCATGTGACATCATTATTGACCTCCACTTAACTGTACGGGATATGTAGTTTAAAAACTTAAAACTGTGTCAATTTAAAAAATACTACGTTTTGTTTAGGGAAAAGATGTAATTATGTTGGTCATATCCACTGTATACAGGGATATTGATTGATCTTCTCATAATTAGTTTATGGTGTAAGGGCATTGTCTTGTTCATCTTTCATCTCATTAGCTTTAACATTCATTTACATTTCTTCTTCCTTTTACACATGTACTGCCAGACCTCCATAGCAAGCGCCTTTTATGTGACCCCGCCCCAATCACCAGCCCCATCTACTGGTTACCAGTAGGAGGGACACTTTAATATCAATAGATATAACACCACAAACTGAGCCATTCTGTCTTTGCTCGCTCCTGCCGCATTCCTTTTTACTTGCTTTTACATTTTTTTTAATCATTCTACTTTTCTCCTCCATTCTTGGTCATTATTTCATTCTTTTTCTTTAAGTTTCCTCAGAGTTTTGAATTTTTTTCAAGATAATCTGTGGGCTTAATTAGCAGGAGCTATCATCATCCTTTTCTGAAGATGACTATTATGATCTTTCAGAAAATCAACATGCTGGAAACCAAAATCCAACGAAAAGAGGTAAATGAGGAAGTAAAGGGAATATCTGGCTACAACACATCTTTACCTCTAACTAAACATAGTAAAGATCAAAGTCTTGTACACCAGTTGGTAGCAGGACACAGACCTGGAAAGCTGTCAATGGGGAAACCAAAAAAGAAGCCTACTCCTCAAATGCTTCTCTGATTTAGTCCCAAAGTACATTTCTAGACATGTTAGGGCCATCTGAACCAGTTCAGACTCTGAGAACCTCAAGTAGTGGTCTCCTGCTGTTGCCCAGAGGCAGAACCAAACAAACCGATGCTGCATTTCAGTGTTATGCTCCTAAAATCTGGAAAAGTCTACTTGCAGAAGTGAGACAGGCCTAAACTCTGACAGTTTACATCAAGCCTGAAAAGAGTTCAACTGAACAGATTTTATCTGCACTCTTCAATTTGAATCTATTGAATCAATTTATTTTTGTCAAGCGTATCGTTCATTTTGTGATTTTAAACTATGTAAAGCATTTTGAGTTGTATTGTACACAAAATTTACTATACAAATAAACTTGCCTTGCCTAAATAAGTATTCACGGTTACTGAAGCAGTAAACTTGCTTAAATCTTGTTTCTAAAACTATACAGTTTTGTTTGGTAACTTCAAATTGACCATAGCCATAATATATTATCAATGCCCCAAATGTACTATTGTAAATAATTTTATTTGAACCATAATAAATTAACTTAACCGATGAGCTGGACAACATTATGTAGAATCTGCCACTGGAAATCAATATCACTGCTCAACTGAACCAGAAAGGACATAACCATCAACGGCAGCTCTTCATTTTCAGCAATGCTGAGGTTTTAAATCGGCTGTTGTGATTATTGTACATGCAGAAAAACTGATCTAAACTTTGTGTACGTACTGCTTCTGCCAATGCCTTCTCCACTAGTTGCCAGCATTCCTTCAGGTACGCTTCTCTGTACTTGGGGAAGAGGGTGGCAAAACTGCTCTCCTCCAACATGCCACGGGGGTTGTCATCCTTAGAAAATGATGGCTCCTTCCACCCATCAGGAACAGTCAAGAGTTCAGATTCATCTACTGCAGAACACAACAGTACACTCATAAATACCTGACGCTTTGAATGTTTTTTTTTTTAATCTGCTCATGGTTGTCCATTGAGAAGCACAGATTCAGCAAAAGCAACAGGATAGCATCAAAGTTACTCGATAGAAAGATAATATGTTGTTTGAGTGGATCTTTGTTAAGTTGTGCCCGTTTAATATTAGCTTTTTAAGCCACATGTGCAGAGGCAGACTAAAAATATTATTCGATGTTTTACGTTATCTTCAAATTTGTGTACTAGTTAGGCCGGCTCAAACTGGTTAGATATGTACGCAGTAGAACTTAAAGGCATTGAGGGCGGTCTCCTTAGTGTATCGTAGCTTTTAAAAATAATGTTTACAGCACGAGAGAACGCGTGCTCATTTATACATGTCTCGCAAAAATGGGCACACATTACGTTTACATTAAAATAATTCACTATTAGAGGAAAACTTGGTTTCGGTAACCAGTTTCTGACTTTAACATATAGAACATACCTTCGTTTCTGGTCTTTTTAGACTTTTTCCTTGGCTGGGAATCACTCACGCCGTCTTCACTCTTGGAGGACGCCATGATTGAATATGAGCGGAAGCTACTAACAAATGACGTCATTACGTACGCTTTCTCTGGGCCTTTGGTTTTCTTCTTCTCTGGCGTTTCAAGGCGTCTGCCATCTATTGTATCATGTTACTGCCCTCTTCTGAAATTCATTTTGCCATGTTCTCAACAGACCATTCGCATAGTCGCCTCTGGTTGTAAACCCTAATAATTATGGGATGGAGCCAGCAACCAAAAACTAGACCCAATCAACCACTGGTACTATACAATACGTATATAACATATCTGATTATTATATACTACACTAAACAAGTCATGTGAGAATATTTATTGATGTAACTCAAAAGTGCGGCTCCATTTTTTTTAAAAACAGGAAATAGAGCAGTCATTGTTTTTGTTGCGGAAAAGGTTTGGTTTCACAAAGTTCTTTCATACCTACAGTTATTACTTAGATGGGGATACTAGGTATGAAGTAAGACAAAACTCACAATGCAACAAACAGCATGTGATCGTGTGAGAAAAGCAGTTTTAACTTAAATTTAATGAATAAATAATGAAACAGAAAACAAACTTCACACACAATTACAGGTGTTCCCCAAAACATTTTTATTCCAGTCGTAGTCGTTCATAGTATATCATGACTGCTTTGATTGCGCTCAGTGAGACCACCGTAATCCCCAAAAAACTTATTGATGCTGCCACAATAAAGATCATGGTTGTGTGCTCTGGCCCTGGAAATAAGAGGAAAAGTTGTATTATGCATTCATGAAAAGACTGTTATACATCATGTTAGATTTATTTGAGAAATCAGAGGCAGGTCATGGCAGGTCAATGAGACATAAATTTGACATGGCTCCAAATGGACATAAAAGCTATTGATTATAACACACTGCATGTTCTGACGAAGATTGTGCAAGATACAGTAGTTGGTATTGTTGCCTTTGTGACAGACATATTTAGGTATTTGCTTTTTGTTCAAATAAAACCCAACTGAAAGTCAGTGTTGATATGAAACAACTGAATAGGAGCATTGTCTCCACTTACAGGAAGATGGCTGGGCAAGCTTAACCCTCATGTAGACTATCAGAGGCCCAGCAGACACCACAGCACCTTCTTTTCCTCTCCGGTCCGTCTGGTTCACTGACCTTTTGCTGCGCGGCTGGATAGAGCAATTCTGCTTCAAATCAAGAAAGAGAGAAAAAAAGAAGTGCAATATCCAAGAAACAGTTAAGAGCTTGGAGAGTTTGTCATAAGCAAGCAACCACACATTTTTGACAGCATGTTTGCCGATCTCACTTTTTACCATTACCTTAGTGCAGTCTTCATCATGTGCACATATGTTGGTCAGGCAGTGAAAGTAGATGGGCAGGCCCTTTGGCATGGTGAACATCTGTACAGAAAACCTGCTTCTCTGTGCCTGACCATTGACAGAGAGCCAATGGAACGTGTTGTCAATGGAACAGCTGAAGAAAAGAGCATGATTAGCATCGTATAGGCATATTAAGCAAAATAAATACACAAGTTTAGGCTACTTTTGAATTTGTTATTTTTGTAACTACACACAAGGTTCCACATTTTAACCAATAGAACCATTCAAAATTTCTAACGAGTATTTCAGTGCCGAGGAAAGTTATACATGCCCATTTTAGCTAAATTTCTGAAATGGTCATATTTTAACAACAAAACAAAAATAATGTTTTGAAAGATACCCGTCTTCCAGAATTAGAGCCTGGACAGGATCTAGCGGGTTGGTGCTCTCTGTTGCCCAGCATGAGTCCACCTGCAGGAGCACGTCGGAGGCGAAGGAGCCATTTGTCTGCAGGGCTACCTGGAAGAAGAGGGTGTCCTCAAACCCCAGGCCTATGGCCTCCCTGTAGCTGTGTGCATAAGACTCGTTCTTATACAGCGTCATGGCCAGACCCAGCTGTAGTGACGAGTTGAACTCCACCAAAGACACTGATGAGAGCCTATAATCAAGAAACAGAACTGACTGTACTTAGATTGGACACCAAGCTAAGGTTGTAGCAACGTTGCAATCGATTCATCTTACCACTCCATATCTGTTATGACTTGAGTGTTGGGGACGTAATGTCGTGGGTAGATGCACTCCCAGACAACTTTTAGGTCCCGTCGGGTAATCGTTTTCTCTTTGGACAAACTGATTCTCAGAGAGTTTTTGAGAATGATGTGGCTTTTATTGACCTAAACGACAAATAAACGTTGACTATTTTTTTTTTTTTTTACTCAAACATAGCAGCGCGGTCCTCTGTTGGAAGGTTTTGCAATTGTTGGCACAAAGCAAACAATGCTCATTTCACATGGGTTTGAGGCCATATTTCATCTCCATTTTAAATGTGGAAACAAATATGTTTAATATATTTAAGATGATGTTTTGTTGAAAATAAAAATAAAAAGTTTCTAAAAATCGGTATTTTGCAGACAAAGAAAGAAGAAATGGCACAGTCACCTGTTTTTCTGTTCCACACTCGGATGATTTGGGTGAGGTACGGAAGTAGTAAAGTATCTCAGTCTCATTCACGGTGCACTGGTCATCATTTAACTTTACCTCAACTTCTCCCTTGAAGTGAGAAGTCAAGTAAGCTTTTGCTATTCCGCCTGTCATCACTTTATCCAGACACTGACTGAAAAGACCTCTCTCTGTATGGAAACAATTATCAATATACGAGAGCTGCCATTTGTACAACATTTGCAAACAGTCTTCCGCTTTAGATTTATAAATCCAACAAGACAACGACTGAATGAGGAAAAGAAAGAAAGAAAAAAAAAAAAAAAATCAGCCGTTGTACCTTTACAAACTGGTTGTGAAGCAGCATTAGGATCAGTGATGGCGCCAACATCATAGTAACCAAGTTTACACACACACAAGTGTGAGCCAAGCGTGTTGATGCAGAGAGAATTGAGAGGACATAAAGGTTGTTTGGAGGATGCACACATGGCAAGACCTAAACAAAGATTTACAATTTCACATTTAAGTTACGGTAATAGGAATTAGAATACACTATATATCTGTATGTTAATCTTTAGGCCTGTGATAAACTCACCTTCCCAGTAGACAACTCCTTTTTTAATGCTGATGTTGGGATTATTTAGGGAGTTAAGGTAATCCATCACATCGTTAACAGGCAGTGGTACATTTTCTTTACTTTTGGAGGCATCATAAAACTGAAGCAAAATCTCGGTTTTGTCTGGCTCATTTGCAAGTTCAAAGAAGTCCAGGTCAATGTGGGCTGGCTGGTGGAAGTCTTTCAACAGCTCCTTTAGCTAAGAGGACATAAAAAGAAAATAAATCTTTCTTTCTTATAAACGGAATCAAAATAAATTGTATACATGTATACACACAATTGTGTGCCAACAATGTATATTCATATTTTTAGCTTTTATCTACAAGGATATAAAAGAAAAACGGACAATCAACCGCCCAAAAAGATATTAGAATATAAGTAAATAACTAGACATGGTGTTTCTGTATCTTGTACGCCTTCACACCTCTTCTTTGAAGATTGGCACCAGTTTAGCTTGAGATTCTGATGACTGATCCCGTATGTCCTCGGGCAGTGACCACGGCACAACCAATGTGAGACCCATGTTGTCAAAATTTAATTGTAGATCTATGCAGGCCACAAAATGAAAATGAAGCTATGGAATGTTTTATGAAAGATAAATCCTGTGGGAATAAAGAACTTCAGACTGACCTTGGTCCATGGCAGAATCGGCAGCTCTAACATGAATCTCAAAAGTTGAATTGGCTCCTTCTAAGTACAAATGAGATGGCTCAGACTCCCACTGGCCCTCACATTCTTCCCATACATCGAGGATATAAGATTTTCCCTCCTCAAGGTCTGGAAGGGGCAGCTCCGTCTTGGACACACGGCTGCTCTGGATTATGGGGCCACTCTTGTGGGATAGCTCATAGATGTAGGCCATAGATGGCTGCATGATGCTAGGTGTCCACACAGCAGTAGAGTCATTAGAGCGGTACCTTAGCTCAGATATGCCACGGGGTCCTAAATGCACATACACCAAAATTAATAAAACAGCAAAAACATCCTAAGAGATCTTATGGAACAAAACTGATTCAAGCTTTACTGTTAGGAGCTGACATATCAAAATAAGTTTTTTGACCATCTTTACAACACAATTCCCCCTCTCAGGGAGTAGGTGTTCCCTAAATTCAATTTAAACAAACTGATGGATGGTTGATTTTAAACATCTAGATGTAATGATATGCCACTATTAGGTTGGTTGGCTGGTTTATTGAACGGTCATATCAAGATGATTTAATCTGCCACACATTCATCATATTCATGGTATTGTTATCTCCCTCTGTTCCACTGTGGCCTCAAAGTATCCTCAAATTATCTTAAGGTTTTTTAGAAAATTTCGTCAAAGTATTTATTGAAACAGATTGCCACTAAACAATAGCTCAATTATACTTTTCAAATTGCAGTGGCAAATTAAAAAAGGATGCATTTTAGCTACAATCCAAGTTCTGACATTTCCACTTTTGGGATATGTTGCTGACATCAAACTCAAGTTGAAATCTTTCACTAAAAACTCTACACTGAAATGTTTTTAAACATTTATCTTTTCCATTTTGCATTTTGGGTTAAAAAATAACTAGATAATACATTTAAAAACAACTGCTTCACTAAATATTTGCCTGATGAATATTTTCAAGCCAGTGTTCAGTTGATTGATAAAGAAATGTAAAAACGTATGCGACTGGTGTGAACTAAATTATTCAAACCAGTTACCCGTGAGTTTAAACAGTCATGTACCGTTATTCTCAGGTGTTCTAACCTGTGTGAGCCATGATGTTCCTGGCATTCATTATCTCATTCCTGTCTCCACACAATGCCTCCACCTTGGCCTGGTACTTGTGGCATGGCAGCAGTCCCCTCACAGTGTAGTTGTTGAAGTGCGTAGAGCCCTGCAGCACCCCCTCGTGGTAAACTCGGAACGCCGAGACTATCGAAGTGTTTTTCATCTCCCATCTAAGAGTATAGTTGTAAGGGCCATATAACGTCTGATGCAGGATTTCAATGTTAGAGTTGACTGAGAGGGAAGAGAAAAAAAAAGGTATGTCAAAGAGTCATTCAGCAAAATTAAGGGGTGCTTAATGCATTATAGTGTTGATGTGAAAAAAATTTCCCAAACAAATATTTTGTTGCACTCATTTCAATATGCACATCCTTTATGCCTTGAATGATGGAAGTGTTCACAAACAGACTTTAAAAAACAAAGAAGTGTAGTGCAAATAAAACTACAGAAGAGTATCTTAAAAGTGGGCCCAAAATCTGAACATGCCCCCAACACCAACTACATTTAGCAGTTAACATTAAAGTTGGAAAAAAAGTGTCTCTTCCACCTAAACCCCAGAGGATGGAATAAATATGGTAAGTTATGGGTCACTATTTGCAATTCTTGTAGAACACAAGTTGACAACTTTTCTTTCCTCAGAAGTTGAAAAGTGCAATTTTTAGGCAGGGATAACAAACCAACCTACGGTACATTAAAACTAAGTTTAATGAAAAATGTGTTGGCAACATGATTTTTTGTTCTCAAAGAATGATAACTTGGGAGAAATCTCAAACATTAGGACCATAAATTAATGACGAGAAAACATTCAGGTTCAGTATGAACTCAAAGAGCAGCGATGGCCTCAAACAAGATAAGACAAGTAAGAATGCTTAATCACTTTTAACAAGTGCAGGACTTACGAGAGTTTCCATCATTCAGGACCATCTGGCTGTAACGGGACTCCAGCCCAGCCTGGCAAACAGTCTGCAGGCCAAACTTCACCCTGGTGCAGGGCTGCAGATCGGACAAGATGAATGTAAAGCTATCATCTGTGAGCCACAATTCCACCTCCTCAGCGACGTGGTCTGTACCATTCAGGTAGAAGGCCGTGAGGAGGAAGAGTGAATACTTCAGGTTCACAGGACAGTCCCAGGCTAGTGAAATACTGCTGCTGTTCCACGACGCAACTATGAAGTCCTTTGGAATGTCCGGGTCTCAAAAGGAAATACGAATAAAGAACAAAGTACCAAAACTGTACCAACACGTAATATTCTTTGAAACCATCAAATCATTTACAGCCTTCTATTCATACCAGTAAGAGTTGAGAGACATGTGAGGGTATGAGCGTCTGAAGCCTCCACACAGAAAACATAGTGGCTGCATGGTTCCAAAGCAGAGAAGCGATGGTGGTTGAGGGGGGTTGTGTCCAAGCTGAATGCGTTGTAAGTTCCCATTTCAATGTGGTACAGGGCGAGCGAATAAGTGGAAATATCTGAACGATTCTCCCTCCAGGAGACCAGCAGCATGGATGGACTTCTGGACTCCAGCTTGACAGGGAAGCGCAAAGTGTGCCCTAATATAGAGCAATTTTGTGTCATTTGAGTGTTGAAGGACGCAGAAATATTGATTCAAAAGCAAAGAAACTGTGACTAAACACTAACTGTGATAACTCATATTCCAACTGCAGTTGACACTGCACTACATCATAGATATTCACATTGCCTTTCTCCAGCGGTACCTAATTTTCTATACTCAACCTGGGCTTGTTAAGGTTTTCTTTTACAACTGAGTAGCACCTCAGTGCGACTAGGGTTGTTAACAGCAAAGTGGTCTGGCAGTCCTGTGGCACAATATGTAATAAAAGCATGCACGTCAACATTAGACTGTTACCATTAACCTACCTTATTGTCTATCACAAAGAGATAAAATCTCAATCACTCTTGGTACGTTTATAAAAATAAACATTTTAAAAAATAAGCCGACTTTCTTATGCCTGGCATTCATGATATCCAGTGGCTTAATCACCCAGCTAATCAGTGGCCTGTAGACATCAGATTTTCAACACAGCTTAAGTTAAAAAAAAACAAAAAAAAACAAAAAGAACAGAAAAGCTTAGTAAGTGCTGGTGGAAAAGGACTAAATTTTTTGTGGACACGGTGCAATGATAACGCCAACAGTTTGACCAATTGAGCTTAGCTTCCATTTAAATAGTAAATGAACATAAACTACATAAATGTCCTTTACAAACATCAGTGAAATTTAAGTGCCAAAAATCAGCTATTAAAAAGAGGGGTATATCTCTGCATTCAAGTCCCTATGCTAAGGACAGGATTTTTCGGTAGTATAGTTGTGACAGTAGACAACCCTGCCTTGTACTTACCAACTGCAAGGAAGAAGCCCTCATCCTGGTGGAGATACGTTGTTCCACCTTCACAAGCATATACCTCATCTTGACTCAGCAGCTGCAGGAATCCCTAAGAACAAGCATTTGAGCATAACTGAGCAAAGGACGATATTGCGGAGACAATGTTCAATACATGTTCACCTAGCTGTACCTTTGTGGTATTTGTTGGATACTCAAGAGGTCTCTGTTGGCCTGTGATTTTAATAGTCTTTGTACCTTCAGATAAAATAAAACCCAACATGTTAACCACAAATTTTAATTTAAGGATTGTATTGCAATATACAATTGAGAATAAAAGTGTTGTCCTTACGTGGGCTGACTGTTAAGGTCCACCTTAGGATAGAGTCTCCAAACTGAAGTACAAGCTTGTTTTCTACAACCGGAGACACTGTAAGGGAGGTAACTTTGCCAGAAGTCATGATAGATTTTAAAGATGTGCCATTGAGCCATAGGTTCCCACTTTGTCTGAAAAAATGGAAAAAAAACGTAGAATTGCTATATCCAATTTAGAGGCGCAATAGAATTAAAATATATAAATTAATATTGAGCCAAGCTATTGTAACCCAGCTTTTGGAATCCCAACAACAATGTCATGTTGTTATGGTTTTTAGATGTCTCAAAATGAGTTGAAACTGCAGTCTCTGGCATCTTAAAATAATATAGCACTGACACACTCATGTCTTTATACATCTTACACACTAGCAGGCCCCTACTCACCTCTTTTGGTCACTGTATTATAAAATATTTATCAGTATGCGTTTTGTTGTGCCAACAGTTACACAAATTCAATAACGTGTACACTAAAAGTTAACTCAATGGATTTTTTTCATCTTAAAAAAACCCACTAGAGATGAACAGCAGCTTGAAAGATACAAAATTGTATTTGTAATGCGTTATCTGGCATCTCAAAATGTTTACCTTACTATACACTCCATCACCTAAAGGAATATTAAAAGACCTCTGTATGGTTTTATTTTAAATAGTAATCCATGTCCTGTAGTTTTCAGAATGCAATTTCATTTAGATAGGGCATTGGAATAACATTTAGAGGAATTGATTAACTTCAATCAACTCGAGTAAGTTTTTGATAGGCCTATTCCATTTTCTCACTGAGCTTTTGGACCACAACCATTCCTGGAGAGTTTGTAAAACAGTTAAAAAAAGTTAAGCGTTGGTGTTAAAAAAAAAAAAAAAAGTATAGTGCGTTCAATATAAGAGTCCTATAGTAATTGAAAAATTGAAGCACCCAAGCAGTGGCCCACAAACAATTTAAAGGGAGGGAGAAAACACCTTCTCTTTTATGTTTACCTTTCCAGAATTTCCTCATTGCTTGCCCAACATATTGAGAACGACATATCAAAGCATAGTCCTGCATCAGAAATCAGTTGTATATTAAATATGCATTTTAAATACACGAAATTCCGCTTTTACCTCACATCAGTGCGCCGCTGTTTGTGTTGACATACTCACCAAACGAATAAGGCACCAAAATGAAAAAAACGAACGAATATTTTACGGAGTTCCTGTAAATTTTGAAAAAGCCGATTAATCCGCCATATTGGAGAGACAGTTAAAAAACAAAATGACAATAAAGCTTTCTTACATTTCTTTGCTTCGCTATGTTTTTCTTTTCGTTTTTGAATAGCAACAGAGTAAATATGTTGTGTTTATCAAAGTCGAAGTCAAACAAGGACTGACCACCTGCAAATAAGTGGCAGGTGTGCGCCCTCACGTGACACCAGCTCAGATTTACTAAACTCTGGCGGAAGTGGGACCATTTCAACTTTCCTTTGTTTTGGGAAACAAAAGAAATAATGAATTGATATTTTCATACTCCAGTACATTCTTTATTGTGTTAGTTACCAAGATTTTATCGTACCTTAATATCTCAATATCAATTATACACGTTTTCAGTCAGTCAATTGCCATTACTATCTAATGAGAACATAATATTGAGCATACACACATTAAAAAGCCAGGACTCACATTTGTTTTAATGTGAGACCTTTCATGAATATTTGGACTTAGCTTGCAGAGTATCTTATGTAAGTGTTTTTTCCCCATCCTTTGATTAATTTTTCATTGCTTTTCTGACATCAACCTCCCTAGAAGCAATCAATAGCCCCTCCTTGAGGATCCTGAGGTGTCACCTGACCCCAGGGAACATTATTCCCACCAATATTCTGTCTTTCTCCTCTAAGATGCCCAAACCAACTCACCTGACTGGCTTTGAAAGATTTTAAAATTTTATTTAAACAAACATTCATATTTTCCACATTTGAAAAGAAGTCCAAGTCAAAAGCAACACAAAACAAAATATCACTGTTAATTCACAAACTTTTTTCAGTGTTGTAAACAGCAGAATTGTGAGTCCTTTTTCACTCCTGATGGTGTTGAGGGTCTGTGGGTCGTTCTACATACCATACATCAGATATGCTTGAATCTGCATTTAAAAAGATCAACAATAAATGTATCTGTACAAACTAAACGACTGTTACTGACACACTTGAAAGGTAAAAGAAAATGAAGTGTGAAAAAACACTTTTCTTTCTCCTCAAACTATCCTGCATGACCTATTAGTATTTAATTCACATGTGTGACTTTGATTAGCCTTTATATAGAAAAGGATGGACGACTTGTCTCCTATTAGTAGTCCTGCATCGATGCCAAAGTCCAGCTGTTCAGAGTTTGCAGGGCAGCACTCAATAGTCAGACAGGGGGGCTTTTGTCTGATAAATGTCACCAAGCAACCAGCCAAATTGGAGTCATGCACAGCTTGTGAAGGTTTTGAGCTTGCGCACTTGTGGGAGCTGCGATGCCTCTACCACAGCTAGTCAAGTATTCAAGTCAAATCACGATCTAAGCAGCAGGGTCTTTGGAAATATTCGAGAACTCTGGCCCAATATGGAGGGCTGGCAGGGGCTGCTTTTGCTGAGCACAATATCTTTAGCGCTTTCCTCTGGAGAGGTGACGAAAACTGACGATGGAATCGGCCTTGTCAGCTTTCTGAGAAATGTCTGGCACGGACTGCTTGTGAGAGCTGAGCCGTTTGTCTTCGCCAGAGACTTTGAGATAAACTCTCTTAAAGAACTCAGACGCCCGGAGGACCTTACGTTCATACAGCAAACCAAGGGGAAAGCAGTCAGTCACGGCACAGACGAGATCCCCAGGCCAGCTGTCTTTACCAAAAATGGCCAGATCAGGGGGATTACTGTGGATAAGGCCCACATATTCTATGGGGTTCCGTATGCAGACCCCCCTGTGGGAGCTTACCGCTGGAAGGCCCCAAGACCTGCCAGCCCTTGGCCGGGCGTTTATGATGCCTCCTTTCCTCGGGCAGCGTGCATTCAGGCCTGCAGTGGACCCATCGCCGAGGAGTGTCCTAAGATGGTAAGGAACACGAGGACCGCTATGCTGTTGCGATGTTTTGAGACATTAATGATTATTTCATTTAATTTACGTTGTGGTCACTGGTGGGTATGTGAGTGAGTTGGGTGGTGTGGACATTTTACACATACATACACATTTTTGTACTTAAAACAAGCAATACCTGTTAAAAACTTGGCATTTAGAAAATCATGTCAGTTGTGATTCATACGTAAGTGGCCCCTAGTTACAGTCACTGAAATGTGTTATCGTTGTTTTGTTGTTTTAAAATAAGAGTTACAGCTGATAGAATTATTACTGAGTCATCTCCGTCATATCACTCACTCTCTAATCTACAAATTGTGCTTTGTAAATGTATCAAACTGGTGTGTTTCTACTCTACAATGAGATATCACAGATCGGAAAAACTTCTCACCATTTGTAACTTTTACCTGAGTATAACAGCTAAAAATAAATAAAGGTTCTCATTGTTCTCCTCAAAACCTTAACATTTGCTTAAAAATGAGGATTTTTAAAATGTCAATGTCGCTTAATTGTGGAATGGTCTCTTTTAAAACAGGGAAGATTGCATAGGAAAATCTCTGCCGACACAGACTTGGTGGAATGAAGGAGGATTTTATTTTCAGCCAGGTCCATGTCAGAAATACAGATTGATACATCAAATCTTGTGCGTTCTCAGATTCGAATGCCTGAGAAATCTTTGTCTTACTCTGGCTACGACCTCTTTTATCTTTGTTTCACTCCTTCCCGTATTTGGTATTACTTATTTCTTAATATGTAAATCTTACTATCATGTCCTTACAGTCTTTCGGTATAGGCCTTGAGACAGTATTTTCCATCCATCCATCTTTTTCTTCCGCTTATCTTGAGTTGGATTGCAGGAGGGCACATTGTCCTGCCAGATTTTGTAACCCTGGGTCTGTATATCTCTTCATCTGGAATGCACTATCCTTTTCCAGGCCCTAACCAGAATATAGTTTATTCATTTTTGTTAAGCTTCCCTTTGACACTCTGACTTAAAAATGTGTTTTT